ATAATCACAAACTAAGGCAAAAATAGATGGCAAAAACGGTTAGAACGCGTGGTCAATCCCACTTCTGATCTTAAGGATCAGAGGTGAGAGTGCTTTTTAAAAGTAATGTACGGCACCAGCAGATATCGATTTATTACATAACCGAAACCAATAATTCCACAAATCAATTTAACGCAATAAAGAAATATGCCTATGGCAGAAATAATGATCTAGGTCACAAATATCACAGTCCCTGAACCGAGAGAACGTCCGTCACAGCCAAGCACTCGAGCAAAGTGTCGCGGTGCGCGGGGCGGCCGGTTTCTCGTGCCTTCCCTCTCTAAGACAGAGACAACAGGATCGAACGATATGACGTCACGCTGACGTAGCGGGTGTTATTTCTAAGAATAGAGATATCAATTTTCTGACTTCACCATACCATTTATATGCCCATGTTAACATTGGCTAGTGTCGGCTCATATACCCATTTACCTAACACCCTGTATTTGCTTACCCCTGTGGCCAAAGTTATGCGACAGTCCCATATCTACTTGATCCTTGATCGCAAAGCATACAGGTTATAAAAAGGTTTGAGAAATAAAACGAAGATGTTACTGACCATAAAATAGATCCTGCTGAACTGTCCAGCAACCGTAGCGTAAGCGTTCATGAGTATGAACCAGTTGTTGACCACCGTCAGCTCGAAGAGAGTCACGCCGCTCGTGACGATGTTGTCAAAGTTGTTCAGGTAGTAGTACCCGAGCGCTGTGGAACCGTTTGCCGAGAACTTGTAGAAGTCTTCCACCGTCGTGTTCCTGTGAGGGTAGGCCAACGTGTTAACATTTATAAAAGTGTTTGGTAGAGCACTTATTATTATTCTGTGGTAGTAGGCCAAACGGACGATCATCGTTTCGTGTTTCGTTTCGTCCGCAATTGCGTATTTCGATTTTCGTAGTAGGCCTGCAGGTCAAATAGTTCGTGACACCCAAAGTGGCCAAAAAGTTGACAACACAACCTTATTCCTACTATTTGACGCTGACTGTACCATACATTTTTCTAGATGAAACAGATTATTTCGAAAAATAGGCGATAATTGATATCTCTCTCTCTCTAACTCCCTCCCACACTCTCTCTCCCCCTCTATCTCTCCATACCTCCTTCTCTCCCCTTCTCACTCTCCCGTCCTCCCTCTCTCTCTCTCTCTCCCTCCCTCGCTCTCTCTCTCCTCCCCTCTCTCTCTCTCCCTTTCTCTTGTGAGTACTCACGCGCAGCAGTTCCGCAGGTTGTACTGCGAGAACAGCTCCATGCCGATGATGGCGAAGAAGTAGTACACCACCAGCATCACGCAGCCAGCAGACGACATCAGCGGCGACAGCAGTACCAGAGTGCCGAACACGTCGCGGTAGCGCTTCTTCAGCTTGTACAGGCGCATCAGTCTGGGGACAAAAACGTTGGCTTAGACCACAGATCACAGAAACTAAAGGGAGATGTGACAAGGGGGCGGGGCCGGTGTCGCAGCGATATGCCCAAAAACAGAACGCACTGCTCGCGACAGCAATTATGACAGCAGCGACGACATAATGATAACGCTAAGCTATACGAAAAAAATTTGCATGTCATTTTGTTAGTTGGTTACACAACTATACTCAGACATCGAAAATTTTGCCTCAAGAGAAGTACCCATAAGATTGTATGCACTCATTGATCACGGCCCAAAAATAGGGCGATTTCCACCCACGTCTGCACATTTGCTGTCAACTTTAGAAGTTCCAGTCGTTTTCCAGATCCATGTCCAGCGCCGCAGTCGCCAGGAACACTAAGAAACGATCTATAATCATCTGAGATGCCCGAAAACAACCACAATGAAGAATCTGGAAGCTACAGTATAGCACCGCACCGCCCTGCACACTTCTGTGCCATGTAGGCGTTTGTTCCTTGAGAGTAGACACGACAGAAGCAAATACTTAGCTTCTGACTGAAGAGCCTTTATAGCACCAGCGTTCTGGCTGTTTTTTTTTTCCTTTTTTTAGTCCCATATTGGTTTGTTTCTTTCTACTTTCTCCTCTAAAAATTTCAAACAGTAGAGTAGTACCTACTGTTACGTATGCTATTTTAAGAATTAGTTACACTAGTCACCTTTGCAGGGTGAGTTAAATACGGCTGTTACACTCACCTAAGCGGCCTAAATATGACGACGATGAAGAGTCCAGGCGCTACAGTCAGCATGACAGCGCCCACCAGTGCAAGTAAAGTGACACTTAGGTCGAAGACGTTCCAGCCGCTTTCCAGGTACGCGGTCAGCCCTGATGCTGCCATCCGTAGTCCTGCCTCCACCAGGAACACTGGAGAACACAAGGTAATCATCATAAGGTCATTTAGTATCAATTACAAGAGCACCTTATACATGGCCACGAGGAAAACTTCTATAAAAAGAAGCGGGGATTGGGAGTCTATTCGAAGCCGAAGTAGCTCGCTCCAGAGCGAGCCGTATCCTGAGACGAAGCTATGGACGAATGTCCAACTGTGCGACGGGCGCGAGCGATAGGGATGGGTAGCTTGGGGTCATTGGACGGGATTCTACGTGCTCACGGACCAGGCTTTAGGCACCACCCTCCAGCATTTAGTGGGCAGCTCATGGCGGGGAGAGCTCCACACAACCCACTGGTCGTCCCCATTGGCGAGTACCTACTCGCATGTCCCATGCGCAGAGTATTTCCCGACGTTTTAAAAAAATCCTTATTCGCTTCTTACGTCACCACGAGATGAGTGGAAGTGAACCTAACTATTTGCTCTACCAAAAGTGAAAACCATACACATGGCTAATGACGGCACTTTAATTATATGGTGTTATACTGAAAAAGCTAGCTATAAATAAGCAACATGTTTGATAATAATACAGAAGAAATCTTACGTGACAAGAACAGCCATGTGTCCCATGAGGCGCAGAGTAGCCTCGCGCTGTCCTGCAGGTTGCCGGCCGCTTCACACACCCGCAACACCATGGACACGCCGTTGCCGATGATTAGGGCGTCTGCAACGACATACAGCAGTTTGTTTTATAGTCATATGTTACGTTAGAGCGGGGGTGGCCAACTTGATTAGACATAAGATCTACTGTATACTAACAAAACCCTGGGCGATCTACCACTTAAATACTTCTTGAAATCTTAAATGAAACAGCATAGTTTAGTACACAATCATGTAGTATTTTTTGACTTGCCACGATCGACTGGACTAATAGTCGCGATCGACAGGTCGACCACCCCTGCGTTAGAGGCTTTGAAGCTAAGTACCGTACTTAAAATACTTAGTAAAAAGTGTTTTTTGAGTCCGTTAAGCTTGAATTATAATGCCTCCCGCTTTTTTCATCCAGCTGCTGCTAGCTTTCTTTCTTAGGTCGACGATCTATTCAACCGATGATGGGCGTTCGAAGCTACAATACCGGGTATTTCCATCCTAAACAGAGTTACCAAAAGCGACAGTTGTAACTCGGAAATCACTTCTATAAAATAAATGGCTGACAAACGCGGAAGGACAATATTCCATAGAGCCACAGTGGTTCTCTAATAGAGTCGGGACCAGTCATTGGTCGTTCAGCAAAAAGTTGAAGGAACCCTATCGCGTGGCAGGTCACCTGTGCGCTGGACAGACCAAGGTGAAATCCGCAGTAGGAAACCGCGTATCTGACTGCACCAGGCAGTCTGCCAACAAGGAGACATGGCGGGAGATCGTGCGGAGAGCTGTATCTGCCTCGATGTGGATGCCTCAACGTGACCACGAGCGCTCTGCCAAGAGCGAGACTAAGAAGAATACACATACAGATCAGATACTCGGAGAAGGGCTGTCTAAGGGGGCGTCCATAAATTACGTGAGACAATTGCCATTTTTCAACCCCCCCCCCACCCCCCTAATCTCACGTGATATTTAATACGGCGCCGGTGTCTCGCACACTTGGCGCCGGTACTCACAGTAGTGCGGCGCATAGTGCCTCATGAGGCCGGCGAAGTGTCGCAGGCGCACGGCGAGCGGCGCGCGGCGCGACACCAGCAGGCGGAAGGCGTGGCGAGCGGCGCGGCGCCGGTGCAGGAGCAACGCGCGGCACTTCTCGCGTTCGATGCGCGTGAACGTCTCGTAAACCACCGCCAACATCTGCAAAGCAGACAATGAGGGCTATCGTTTTAGCGCTCACCAGTTAGCGCCACTGTAGAGTAAGGTCCTGTCACTTGCTAGTAGCGAAGACAGTGGCACCAACTGGTGAGCGCGAAAGTGGTAGGAGGACTATTGCATTTGCACTCATCAAGATGGCGCCACTGTAGAGTAAGGTCCTGTCAATCGCCAGGGGTGCCAACTGTTAAGTATAAAAACGATAGCCCTCATTAGAGCCTTATGTGCTTGAGAATCTTGAGATAAGAGTTAAAAGCAATGAAAATATTGGTAACTTCGCGCGCATTGATAGTCAGATTTCGAAAATAAAACACATTCGGCCAGCATCTGTGGCCATGCAACACGCCGCACTTAATGTAAGTCCAGCATACCTGATATTGATCAATTGTCTGAAGGAGTTTCATTCATCTATACTAATTATTATAAAGCTGAAGAGTTTGTTTGTTTGTTTACTTGAATGCGCTAATCTCCGGAACTAAACTTGTCCGATTTGAAAAATTATTTCAGTGTTAGATAGCTCATTTATCGAGTAAGGCTATAGGCTATACAACATCACGTTACGATCAACAGGAGCAGAGCAACAATGAAAAATTTTGCGAAAACTACGGTTGCGGTTTTCACGCGCACGAAGTCGCGAGCACAGCTAGTACAAAATATAAACGTTAATAATAATTGATCTCCTAGAAATACTCACCAAATTCATAAGAACATAGAGGACTGTAATAATATACAAGATGAAGAACAAAGCGTACCACTTTGACTTAGCATACGAAGGCATCATCACATCTGGGAAACTGGAAGAAAAAACCACCATTATTACAGCATCTGATATGATCTGATAATACAAATTAATTAAAAAAAAAATTGGACAGCGTCTGCACTTACTTGGCAGTAGTCAGCAAGACGAACATACTGACAAATGAATCACTGATGGTTTTGAAGTGTCCATTATCTACGTGCTCTGAAAATAAATAATAGCCCAGCAACGAATACGTCGCCACGAAGAACATCAATAAACCTGAAAAAGAGTAAAATAAGGTTTTTACATTATTACACAAACAGAAAAAAATACAATGAACTTGATCTAACTAAAGCCTACTGTCAGATCCCGTCTATTCGTACATGGCATTAGGAATCACGCCAAATGCAACGTGAGGATCATGAATTCATACAATTTATATAACGAATGGCTTGATAAATGCCCAAAAGTAGGACGAGTGGTGTAATTTATATTAACATAAAAAACGACACTTTTTAGAATCCTTAATGTACTTTGATGACATATTCATATTCATCAGTGATAGA